AAATTTGTACAGTGCAGGGACCGTTTTAGAATAAGACGCAACGCAAGAGCAAGCGAACCAAAAATGGAATTCTGCAAAACATTTTAATTCTGATTTGCCATTCAAATAAATTTTAAACGAGATAGGTACGTGATAATAATTTACACGGCCAACGCTGTCAGTCATCGCGTTGTCGCTCGCGGGAAAGTACACCGTCCTCGACAATCGATACCGATCCCTCGCTCTTCTCGCGGTCGCATCCCGCCACGAGGTGAGAGGAGAGACGGATTGCGCGATCCAAAGTGTTCGAAGAACTAAGCGCAGGGGCGCGGGATAAAAATGTAAACTGGAGCATTTGCCGATCCGTCCCCACCTGCCAGGGAGAAACTCCTCACCCTCGTCCCCGGCCCCGCCGCTCGATCTCTTGCCGACCCCCCTACGGCGCCGTTTTGAGAGGTGAAAGAGATGGTCCCGAGTTCCTCGGTTCGTAGGTTGCTACGCGGTTAGGTAGGTAGAGGTGCATGCCGATGCTCGGCTACGTCGCGCTACGCTGCACCGCCGTCGCGCCGCGCCGCGCCGTCGACCGCTACTGTCATGTAGAAGCGAGTGGTCCATTTTCACACGTCCGCGCACGATCTTCGCCGCTCCGATTTCTATGCGATTTATAGACGATTTTACTTCGGTCCGATATGTAAAATAGAGGTCTCCAGACGTCATATGCATATACACGCGCTTCTTTCTCATGTGAATTGCTTTTCTTAATACTTAATTTACGTCCCAGCATCTATTAGTTCATATACGTTTTATAACGTTTTCTAAACGTATCTAATGTTCTATAAACGTTTAAGAAATGTATATAAAACCAACATGTGCTACTGGGAATAATTCTACACGGAAAGAACAATTTTTCTGAAGTGTCTAGGAATTTAGTTAAATAAAGATCTGAAAAGAATTATGTTGAATCATTGAAATAATTATACTGAATGTTCAAACTGGTTATTAGAATGTGAAAACCTTTGCATCATTATCATGCGTCCTACATAATTATTTTGATAGTTCAACGTAATAATTTTTAGATACGTAACTGGCTTAATTTTTAAATACTTCAGCAAAACCGTTATTTCCATGTAAACTTAATCTCTTGTGCATTTATATGTTATACGAAATATAAACTTGTCACGTAAATTAAATTAATTTGTAATTACGCAAGTAACTTTGGACAGACACTTGTGATACGAGTATCTCGTATTTATAATTGTAAATAAATCTGTCATCAAAAGATATATGATTAAAATCATATGATTCATACATAAAGTACCAATATTTATTCTGCGTTATATCGGTCTATTTACTTATCAAAATGTCCCCGATATACATTTTTGCTTACTCGCATTCTATGAATTTCAAAATACATTTTCAAATCATCTCATCATCGCTTGTGATACACAGAAAGAATGATTTTTCTGAAGTATCTAAAATTGTGCCAGATCTAAAAATAACTTTGTTGAACTAATTATAAAGTAAAAGATAGAATAAAAGCCTGTAAGAGCAATTACCTATAAGCAATTAACAACGTGTGAATTATTGTATATTCGCATATAATTACAAAATATTATACATACAATAAGTTTTGACCTCGATTTGATTGGCTCCTCTTCAGTACTTATCGAGATATCAGAAAAACAAAATAATTATGTAGGACCTTCAACCTAGTTACTAAAATATCAAAACTTTTGCAATATTATTTGAATTTCCTATACACTGAAAATAATCTAATCACATTAATTCTGGAATTCTGGTTGAAAACGAATGAATCAGAATCTTCTGATTTGAATCTGTTATGATTCTAATTAAGATTACTAGAATTTTAATTGATCAAAATTTTCTGGTTCGTCCATTTTCAATCGGAAATTTTTCTCAGTGTACATAATTATTTTGATGATTTAACAAAATTATTTGCGTTTATTTAAATTTGTTTATTAAAATATTTCAACAAAATCATTCTTTTCGTATGATCTTCAAATTTTTGAAAGACGCGGAATTCACGAGATATCCGTGATTCTCTAAGGAGAACTTATTCCACCTTGAAAAACGGCATCGCCGTTATCGAGACATTGACATTGTATTTTCGCACGAGCATCGCGCAATCATTACCGATATTCGACCGTCAACCATGAACATCCCACAACGATCGCTTTTCGTACTTCAAATCGATTCGGTCGTGCAACACTGATAAGGGCGAGCACGTCGCAAACGTTGATAAGTCGCGGTTGATTATGCGCGACTCGATATGAAAAATTCGAAGACAACAGGGAAGAAAAAGCAGACTCTTGTATAAAAATGCGGACAGCGGTCGTGCCCTCGATCGAAAGGTCAGCGCATGAATTAAAGGTATACCGAGCGCGTCTCGACAACAACGCATGCCCGTTAAAATAGTTCTACAGTAAATCGAATTCCCACATACACACAGAAAAATAGAGGAAAGATCTCTATAAGATATCGAGTTCATTTTGAATAAATGCTAGAAGTCTATAGGCAGAATTTAAAAAAATAATAGGTCATTTTTGAAGAGAATTTAATAATAAGCTTTAAGATAACGTTATATAAAATTTAATTCAAATTCCATTTTTTTTTTAAATTAAAGAAATGTAAAAAGTGAGCAAATCGCAAAATCAAAAAATTGTACTCTAATATGAGATGCCCCGAGAAATCGATAGTAAAACGCAAAGTATACATCGGTATTGCAATTAAAAAACATTCATTTAATGTTTCTAAAATATAAATAAGCACAGCAAGCGTGCGCGAAAAATGAGAATGCGATAAATAAATTATATCCAGAACTCGTCCTCAGGTAGTTGAAATCAAGCATCGCAGAAATAGGCATCGTTCATTCCGGTTGTTTTTTTTTATTATTGTACATTAATATTTATACTTTAGCAACGATTTTCACTATAACATAAGAGCATGGGTTATTTCATATTAGAAATACCCTGGGCATCTCATATTACGATTTCCACGCCTTATGGTTTTACGATCATCAAACTTCCGCAATTAAATATATCAATTCAACATATCTCGTATTTTTCTATTAGTACGACCTTACTCTATCATTACATGAAACATTTATTGCCAAATATTTATTTATTAAATAATAAACAAAGTTTAAAGGTTCATCTCAATGAAACTTGAAGACATCCAAATTCTAAAATCTTGTTTTACAACAACTACAAGTATGATCTAATAATGAATTTTCTACTAAATAGTTTTCAATCCAAGAACAATAAATTCATGAAATCAATAGCGTTTATTAGTTTAGCAGAAACGCCGCTATCTCATATTAAGTGCCTATCTCTCAATAGAGGGCTTTCCTCTAATAATTATTCTATGAAAGTAATAATTACTTATTTTAAATATTCCAAAAGTTCACATATCCGCAAATTTATCATAAGTTCATCACAAGCATTAAATTTATTCAAAATATCTTCTGAATTCTAATAAATATTTAATACTTTAATAAAGTTTATTAAATTAAAACAAATTTTATTTGCTTATTATGAAAAGATTATTTCTTTAATTAATTTTATAATATTCTTCAAAAGAAAATAAATTCTTGTTTTAAGTATATATAATAATGTTTTTCTAAAATTTTGTAATAAGCATATTTTAAGATTATTATCGAAAAAATATTCTTTATTAAAGACTATTATTTAAAAGGAAAGAAATTGAGTAATTATTTTTTTTAGCAATAAAATGATATTTTTTTGCATGTAGAAATATCTTTTTTTTTTATGTAGTTGAAGTGCAAATTTGACGTGTGCAAAATTTTAGGGTAGATTCGATGTAATAAGAAAGAGAAAAAAATGTTGAAAATATAATCTACACGGGAAGAATTTTTTCTTAAAGTTTACCCTGAAAATATGATAGTCGTGTGACATTATATTTCGAAGAATTTTATGTATTTAAATTTTTTTCATTCATTAATAAAACTACAATAAAATATAAAATAAATTTGATTAATTTTACTGAAGTGCATGGTAAACATTTTTTAAATATTGTATTGTATCACAACTATCATATTTTAAGGGTAAATTTGAAGAAAAATTCTCTCCATGTAGTGACAAATAAGAGTTGGCTTTTTTGACTAACTGCATACAAACATTATCATAAATTTCTCTAAAAAACGAGATTGTAATTGTTAAAAAAATTACGATTGCAATGGTCACAAAATATATAGGTCATCAGCCATTTTAGAAAGATATTTAACATTAAAATCACAAAATATCGTATTTTCACAAGAACAAATTGTAAAGAAATCAATTTCTTTTGATTTCATTATTTTTGCACATTAAATATCGTTTATTTCATATTATTTTATTAAAATGTACACGTAATTTTAATATTTTATTCAAACTACGTTAGATATATTTAATATGTATAGATATATTTGTGATTTTGAATGGGCCCTAATGAGGCATCCCAAATTTTCAGCACTTTACTGAAAAACCATCTTAAATCCTTTTTTCATCCCAACCTCACAGAATTTGCGCCTCGCAGACTCACGTCCGCATTCGTATCACTAATCTCTAAAACTTAAGAGTGAATTTCACTTTAAAAGGTGAAATATCACTTAGGCCTGATTTCAATGTAAGATTGACTTTAATCTCGGTTCAATTTACGCTTCTTTTTCTAATTATTACACTGAGAAAAAAGTTGTTGATTTGACTAAATGCATTTAGTTTGTAATGATTATTTAAATTCGAATGTTTATATGTTAACAAAATCTTGTAATTTAAAACATGTTATTTTTTTGAATTAACAAATGTTTATTTTGAATTGATAAATACTTGACAGCCCGTGACCGCTGCATTTGTTGAATCAACTAATGGCTGCGTTTTCAGCAGAGAAAACTAATTCAGTTAACGCTTAATGATCTTTTTTAAAGATTGGTTCTTGCCTTTAATTCTTCGCTGAATCTAAACGTAGGAACCAATCATATTAAAGAATCACTATAAGCGCTAATTGATTAGTTTTCTCTGCCGAACGCAGCTAATTTTTTTTTAAAGCAACAATTTTTTTTTAAAACAGCAACTTTTTTTCTTGGTGTAGAATTGAAAAAAGATAAAGAGTAAGTTGAACTGAGATTAAAATTAATCTACATTAATCTGAAAACGGTCACTAAAAGCCTCTGACTATACACTCTGAGAAACCCATTTGAATCAATTAATTTTTTGGACATGGGCAAACAAATTCTTGGTTGATGCAACAAAATAATTTAGTTGCAGCAAAGTATTTAATTATTATAACATTTTACTTGTTTCTGATAAACAACTTTATTAAATGTGTAATATTTATCAAAAACAAGTAAAATGTTATAATAACTAAATACTTTGCTTCAATTATTTTATATTAAATTATTTTGTTACATCAACCAAGAATTTGCCCATGTCCAAACAAAAAATTAATTGATTCAACTAAATAGGTAACTAAATTTCTCAGAATGTAAGGGATTTAGAGCCTAGTCAATCCTCTATTGAAAAAGTTCAAAAAGAAGAAAAAAACCGGAGGTTGCAAATCCGGAGTTCACGTCACGGCGAGATCGAGAACCGGAAGACTGTTACCATGTCCGGATGTGTTGGACGTGGGAACGTCACCCCGACGGACCCAAAGCTGCTCCAGTACGATTCGCTTCTAAATATTACTAGCCTATAAAATGCAAATGTATGCAAATACAATACACAGACGTTGCTTTCGATACCCTAATGCGCGTCCGACGGACGACCATCGATGCCACGGTACAACGGCACGATGCGAGGTCAAACTGGTAACGCTCGTTCTCCCGCTTCCGTCAAGAAGTCAAAAGTTCCGAAGTAGCCGCACGCCTCGAGAGAGTCACTTTCGATTCTACCGGAGAGTCCAAACGAGCCGAACTCCGAGAGCGCGCGCTTGCGCGCAAAGTTCGAGGACGGAATGCACGGTACGCTACCTGTTGTGTGTCAGTTCGCTCGTTCGTTCTTCGTTCGTTCTTCAACTTGTGATCACCGCGATATATCGGCGATAATGCTGAACATGGAGAATAACGTAGTTGACTGGACAGCGAACGCACGCACATACGCACGCACTCACTCGCTTGCTCGCTCGCTCGCTCGCTCGCTCGCTCGTTCGTCGCAACGTGCGTCGATCGACGACGCGTCCGCGCCGGAGCGTTTCGTCGCGTTCTCGCTCGTGATCGGTTCACGCGAAGAACTCAGAAGAACCGCGCACCGCCGCCGCCGCCGCCGCTATGCTTCTCCCGCAGCCACCTTGCGCGCAGGTGCAC